CAAGTAAAAGATTGGTGGAGTTTTATAATCTTTCTTTATAAAGTGTCAATAAAAGAAACAAAATAAGTGAAAATGAAAGCAATTTCATTATAACTCCTTTCTTCATCTGAGACTGATATATGAAAACAAGGTTTCAGCCTCTGGTTATTGAGTTATGAAATAACTAGCCATTTAACTTACTAAGTGATTAATTAATAGCTAACTTTAACAATCAGTTTCTAAGCTATAAACACTATTAAAGAATCTACCAAAACTAAGAAGTTAAATTGCTGATCTTTTTAATATCATTATTTAATTAAATGTAAATGTAATGCATGTTTATATGAGTCTAAGTACATTGTTTTCAATGAACAGATACTTTGTAATAAGGAAAACAGTTATATTTGATAAATGACAATGTCAATTTGAAGAGATGTTTTACTCATTTAGATTATGACATCATCAGGCAGTGCAAGAATGACGGTAAAAATCATACTGAATTTTTTGCACCTATATTGACAATCGTAAATAACTTTAAAAGAAGCAATCTCTAAAACAAAACTCTAAAGTAATTCCATACAGATGTTACTCAGTAGTACACACTTTCTAACAGAAATGATCATAGATAGGGTAAGTCAGTCAATTTTGAATGTAACACAGACATCGTGTGTGTGTGTGTCTCTCTCTCTCTATTATATATATATATATATATATATATATATATATATATATATATATATATATATATATATATATATATATATATATATATATATAGAGAGAGAGAGGTTCACCTATTGTTTGGTTCACACTTCTCCCAGGTCTTTTGAACAAGAGTAGACTTTTATCTCTTGTTTCCTGTTAAGAGTAGGTTTCTGGTTCCTTCTAAAATCTTTTCTTTCTCTTTTATTTCCAGTAGTCTTGTGTCTCACTAGGATTTATCACCTTACTTGAAGTGAATTGATTAAAAAAATTTACTAATATAGTTTAGTCTTGCAACATTACTCAGTAGTACACACTTTCTGACATTTAATGTTTGGTTAACAGAAATTTTCATAGACATGGTATGAGATGGAAAACTATGTACATAGTCTACAAAAAAATAACAAAAGCAAAAAAAAAAAAAAAATGCATATTAAATATAATTTTCTAACATCACAGTACTTATTTAGGTTAAGTAGTGCCAAGCACTGGTTTTCTAGTGAAAGAGGCAACACTGGACATATTCATTCTTAGTTATTTCTTTGCAATGTTGGTATAAAATGGCTTAGTCATTTTGCTATGACTATGAATGGCCATGCAAAACTAGAGAATTTTATTTTTATCTATAACATTTACCTTATATACACATGTTTAAGACAAGGAGGTACTTCTTTTCTCTCTTTTTTTTAAGGATATTAGAAAAAGAATAAACCAAATAAAAGAGGGCAAGACAAGTGTAAGTGTTTGAAAGTGATTAAATTGAATTGAATTTGGCATGTGCCACTTCCTTTCTTAGAAATCTTGATTCTAAATTGAGAATGATCAGCCACCTGATTTTTTTCTCTTATACATATCCATTCATTCACTTCAACAAAACTATTGCTGAAATTATTTTCCAATCATAGTATGTACTGTGGATGTGTCACCAACAATTCAAAGCTAAAAACAGATACACGTCGATGATGCAGATAAATACTTATTAAATTACATACATGTTGAAATCACTAAGTAAAACAAGCAACTTTATTTCCCTCTTTTTAAACTGTTATCTATGACAAATGAAGGTACAACAACAAAAAACAAAGTGTAGAGAGAGAAGCAAATCAACTTCATTTTTATTGCCATATTAAAAAAAAAGACAAAATCATTTAATTTACAGTTAATAAAAAAAGGAAATAGCATACCTTATTTTAGTTTAGTAATATATCTTTATTCTCAACTTTAAACATACAATATCAAAAATTCAATTTTTAAATGTCCTTTTTATGTTAAAATAATTTCAACTGTCTGATTTATTATTAGTCTTATTTTTTTCAACTTTAGTGTTTTTTTATTTGTTTCTTTTTTATCTATTTATAGAGAAGAGGCCTTGAAAACTTATGGTACAAAAAGAATCAAATATTCTGTGGGGTTTGGCATTTGAAACCCATTAACCAAACAAGGAGAAGGAAATCTATCAAATAGTGGATTTCACTTTTGATGGAGAAAAGATAATAAAACAAAAAGGAAAAGATCATCAAATGTACGCATTGACAGCTAAAAAGTAAAATATGAGAATACATTTGTAGATTTTTAGAGTCAAGATTTAGCATGACTCAGATGTCAGTCACAGAAGGATTATCTCCATGAAATTCCAAATTGATCTCCCAAATTATCCTACATTCAGAATCACTGATCTACACTTCACAAGATTTGTGGAAAATGGAAACTGTCATGTCCATCATGGTTGGAATGCTTTCAATGGACCTAAATATTCTAACAAAATCCAAGAAATAATTGAGATCAACCAGGTGACAACATTACTGAAAACAGAAAAGTGAGCTTAGTAATTTTTTTATTTTCTTCAAATACCAATTATTAAAGACCTACTAGATTAATGATTTTGACCAGCCAACAAACCATGCATAACCCCCCCCCCAAAAAAAACCCCAAATATTTTATCTAGTTGCTTTACAAGAAAAAAAAGTTGAAGGAATAGAACTGGACTGACTTTGGCTAGAATACACAGTAATCATCAGACATCTTTTAAGTAGCTTGTAAAACCAGAATCTCAATCAAGGCTGAACCACAACATCCCCTCAAAAAACCAATAATCATTCATGTCTGAAACAAAATAATGCTTCAGTCCAACTTACTGATAATGACTTTTTTTTTCCTGATGCAGTTTACAAGTCATTTCCAAAATGATATCAAAGCAAAATAAAGTAGTAACTCATATAAAATATCCTTAGTTTCTATATAAACTAATTTCATGCTAACTGAAATTTAAGTAAGCTCTTGCTATTTTGTTTGGATTTAAGGGGCATGTCACCATTGTATATTGGTAGTAGTGTGTGTAAGTAATGTTTATCAAAACTGACTCACAAAAAAAAAAAAAAATACCTGTACTCTGATTCACAAAACATAAAAGCTTCAGAAAGCTTCCCTTTTTTTTTTTTATTGGCATTTCTGGTCATTTTGTGTGTGCATATGTGTTTAAAACACTTTCAAATTGTTTTCTTAGTTACAATAAACCTATCAATATTGTTTAACTCCCTCAACCTTGTTTTCTCCACAGACACTTGCAAATGTTTATTGTTAGACAGCACAATACAGATAATTACACAGGTTGATATGTCTGTAGAAAGCCCAGCGGCCATATATCATGGCATGTTTGGACACATTCTGGCTTACTTTGATTGTTAACAGTGTTACAGAATTGTCTGAACAAAGGAATACATGTGGGGCAATATGCGACCTAAACTTTCTCAACATGCAGCAATAAAACAAAAATTTGCTTTCCTATACAAAAAAAGATTGTGTATCATATTAGTACAACAACTTGATTTGCCTTGTTTCTTGTATAAAAAAAAATGTAAATGCCTCTTCTTTTGATATATTATTTTACTTTGTATTAAAGCAATGCTTCCTGAATCGTACTTTATGTACACTGATGTTCTACAAGATGTAGCCATGTGTACCATGAGAAAAAGTATATAAAGTGAAAAAAATTCATCTAATATTCATTTGAAATCATGAAGAAGAATTGGCTTATCTACCAATGATAATTTTTTTTTTTTTCATCATTAAAGACAGACAATTATACCTTTTCATAAAATTTCCATCTGATATTCATTTGAAATTATATAAAGAAAGAATTGGCTTCCACATTAAGTGATAAACTTTCATTTTCCATCAATAAACACAAAAGATTGGGTTTGAAACCTTTTCATAAAATCTTCATCTGATATTCATTTGAAATTATATAAAGACAAAGAATTGGCATCTCTCTATCCAATGATTTTGGATCTCAGAAATCAAGTACAAAGAGTTACCTTTTGCATTTCCATCTTCAGTTGCTTAAAATTCAGTTTTCTATTTGCTATTTATTATGTTAAATGGTATTTTCTTGTCTAACATTAAATACAAAATATGAGAAAGTTTGAAAAGGAAATGTATGTTTGTCTCACATGGAACAGACTCCCAAGAGGATGTTTCCCCAATCTCTACAATCTTAACCGGTTTGAGTCTAGAGTTAACTGTTATCTTCCACTCCTATCCATATAAACTACCCTTTAACATAACCCTCTACCCCAAGTGGCCCTTGAGCCTTGTACAAGAAAAACCTTACTGTAAAAAAAAAAATAAAAATAAAAAAAATAATGTATGTTTTCCTATAGAAAACCTTACTAAGAAACATCAAGCCAGTGTTTCTCATTGAGAACTCTCCTTAATTTACTAAATAATAAAGTAATAACAATATTCTGCAGTTTAAATTATTTTTATAAGCTAAAATGTCTAAATACAATTCGATTTTTAGATTTTGAAATAATTTTGTTGCCTCTAAAATGCATCCCAAGAACAAAGAAAATTTGTGAATTGCTGTATTGAAATGTAACTAATCCTTTTCTTACTTTTGCTATAAACAAACTTGAAAATACCATCAATCTTTATTTTATATTGATAGATATTTTAATTCAGGTAAGATAATAAGCTTTCATCTCTGTATGTCCACACACCAGTTGAACTTTATTAGAAATGGTGCAGTAGAACAAAACCTGAAAAGATGATAATCTTCAGCATAATGTTTATTGAAATGTATATCTTGATTTCTGAAAAATTCTCTGAAATTCAGATTTTATTTATATAAAAAGGGGGTGCTGAAATGTTCTTGGCCTGATCAATCAGTTCAGAAAAAAAATTTAGCAAGTCAGGCCAAAAACTTCCCAGGATGTCATGCCTCCTACATACACAAAAACAAGCTGAGAATTTTTAAAATGCATAAATATTAGCAATAAAAAAAAAAAAAACAAAAACAAAAAAAAACAAACAAACCTTACCTTTCAATAAATTTGCTAAAAACCTCTTTATTTAATTTTCTCCTAAGTTCATCTTTGTATTTCTGGAAAAAGAAAAAAAAATAGATATAAATAAAGAATGTACCAAAACAGTTCAGATTTTTCAAATAAAGAAAACATTCAATAACACTTTTACTGCCCGTTTCATGTATGAAAATATTTTGGCGTAGTTGAAATCATGTATACCTCCAGAAAATACAAGTGCTTGTATCTGCATTTTAGCATTACTTAATAGAAAATTCTCTTTATAACTAGAAACAATATGAAGCAAGTCAATTATTCCTTTAAGGGTGGTAAAGACAATCAATCCCGTTAACACTTGGGGCCTAAGTGCCCAGTCTCCTTATTTTCAGCTTCTGTCTCTTAACCTTCAGCTATTTTTTTTTCTTTACTTTTTTTTTTTTTTTGCTAAGTACCCAAGAATCTGCAAGTGTCTCTCTTGCTCGGGTTTGATCTACAAATAAACAAGACTGCTTTAAAATTTTAAATATGAATTCTGGCAGCTCATGTTAAAATCCTTTCAAATAATGCAAGATTCACGATGTAGTATAATTTTGTACAAGAATTTTGCATTGAATATTTACTAATAACTCAAAAGATCAAATTTGAAAAAAAAAAATTTCTGTAGAAAACATTTTTGTAGCAAGATAGGGAGAAAGAGGAAAAATAACACTTTCATGTAATCTGTGTTTTTCACTCCACCTCACTTACAATAGTAAATCAACAACCCCAAATAAAAAGGAAATCTAAATGAGAAAAAAAAACTATACTAGTTATTTTCAAAGAAAAATCTTCATGGTAAATGTCATTAAAATTATAACTTAAAAGATCACAACCACACAAGCAACCATAGAATATTTTAATCCCATTAGAGACAAGGTTTTTTGGGGTTTTTTTTCTTACCTCCAATCTTTTATCAGGATTTGTATGATGCAAACTTCAGATTACTTTTGCCCTAGATATTTCCATTGGAACTCATTTCCAATCATTTGGAATCAATAGAACAGAAATCCGTTTTTTAAGAAAATTTGACTTCAACCGCAGAGACCAATGGTTCTCAGCAGCTCTTTTTCGATCCAAAATTCCCTCAATTCCACACAATTTTGGATTATCACAGTCATTTTTTTTTTCACCATTACCCTTACGATTTTGCACATATGATTGAAATTTGTTGGATGCATAAAATTTATACATTTATTATTAAAATATCTTTCTGTTTGAAAATCATCAAGTAAGAAGTACTAATAGTTCCACAATATAAAGATAAAGAACAAATAGGAAATGTATATCAATGTAACATCAGAGATCGAGAGAAAGAAGACAGAAGTTTGGTATTTTCAATTTTGTTTGGGTCAATTCTTATTGGTCAGTCACGTAAGTAATTCCATATGTGTGTAAGTTTGTAAAATTTTTGGTATGTCTAAGTGGGCATCGGATGGTAATGTGTATTCGTAATTGTGTATGTTGTGTTTAGTAGGAAGAGTTCTAATGCCTTCATCATTGTTCGGTCAGCCTGTGCAGTGGGGTGGCATTCAATTTCATCTGGGACTGTTATATACATACTATTTGTATTAGATAGAAGTTAGATTCTTTAAGAATGGATTCAAAGAAACATGACACTGTAATGTAAGGTCTCTGGCATTATATATATTTTATATTTATAAAATCCGTATTTTCTTATTTATATATATATATATATATATATAAAGAAAATACGGATTTTATAAATATAAAATTGATCAGAAAATATTTCTTTGCACCTTTTCAAAATTATTTTTCATTTACCATGTAGTAAAAAGTCTATTTTCCAGTTTTTTACTTCAGCATACACGTGTACAATAAGTAAAAGTCTGGGGTGCACATTCAATTTTAATAAGGAAAAAATTGTCATGAAATTTGAAAATAGGAAAATAAAGAAATCTCCTGAAATAAGCGTTTAAAGACATTATAGTGTATATTTAAGTCTGCTTGTGTGAAACTTGTACTTGATGTGTTTTGGTAAATTTTTGAATGATAGGCTTTATATGTTATGCCTTAAAGAAAGCAAAGACAAAAGGTTTATCCCACCTTATTAAAGATTAAGAAATTTAACATCCAGTTTAAAATATCAAATCACAAAAACTTGAGTTAAACATGGATGTCATGAGCTAGATTTTTTTTTTTATAAATGAAGACTTTAAATATAAAAATAATTCATAAATTGCTCTTCTGTTATCTTGAGGTACACCTGGCTACCTTTCAGGCCACATCAGTGTGCCTGAGCACACCAGTTGAGAAACGCTGCTGTATTCTAATATTCATTGGAAATAGATTCTGTTTAATATCTTAAAAACTTTGCAATGAAAGCCACAGTCTAGGAAAGATATCATGTCTACAACCCAAATGAAAAATAAATTGTTTTTTTTTTATTATTTTTTTTTTTTTTATTGCAGATCTAGTGAAAAAAAAATTAAAGGAGGAGGCAGATTAAGTGAAAGAGTGTATACGATCTGTTCATTCCTTTTTATTATAATAATGAATTATGTGTGTGTGTGTGTATATATATATATATATATATATATATACACACACACACACACACAAAAAGACATACGAAAGACTTGTTGATTTATGAGGTAAATATATAGTACCGAGTAGTGGTTACTTGAAATAGAACCACAGTATACGCCTACCAGTGCCGTTATATAAGTGTCAGAGGAAAACAAATGAGGTATAAGGATAGACATGGACAACATCAGAGAGAATTAACCAGCTCCACAAGCTAAAAATATGCTTGCTTTTGAACAATCATCAGAGAAATTCATCTTAAAAAGGTTTCAATTATTAGTAAACAAATGGAAAAGCAAACATCAACATGAGTAATCCTGACCTTCAAAAAGCCAATATAGTCACAGAAATATCATAATAAATGTTACTAAGAAGGATGCAAATGATGAAAACAATTTTAATATGAGAGAAAGTTCACATCTTCAAACAGAAAACAAACAAATTCTTGGACACAAAATGAATCTGATTACACAAGGCTGGCAAAGTTAAAATAGGAAAGATGAGAAAAACAAATATAGTACAAAATAGAATCATTTCAGCATAAATGGCTTTTAAAAATCTATCTACAATTAATGAAATCTTCAAAGTATTTTAAATGTAATAATCTGTTATTTCAATATACTTGTATATACATGTTTTACTCCAAGACCAGCACATGAGGGATAAAAGTTAAAATTAATTCTACTGGTCAGCGTCAACTTACGACGACTGGTTGCAACCAACAAGTCATAAATTGACCTTGTCATAAATCAGCCAGTAATTAATTTTGCAATCTTTTTATCTTTTTATTAGGCATTATTGTATTTCTTTATAATTTTTATATTTTTTTTATATTTGCTATCATTTGTACCATCTCCCTTCACATTTTTTTGTTTCTTATTTTTTACATTTGTCAGGTTTAAGTCAAACACTACATGCTACACTACAGTTGGTTTAATATTTGCTGGACATGCAAAAAACTAAAATACTGGGACAGAAATTGTTGTATACAGGGAAACAATCAAGTGGCCAGACACGGAGCAGTCATGACCAGACATATCAATTCATGGTCATGGTTGTAATGTTGACCAGTCATAAGTCAAATAGGTTATAAGTTGATGATAATGACCTGGATTTGCATAAAAAATTATTCTGTTAATATTTAGATTTTATCATAGGGTGAAAATACTAACCTGAAGCTTGATAACGTCAAAAATCAAATATTCCAAGTTTTTTTTTTTTTAATTTTTTCTTTTGAGCTTTTACTTAAAAATGTTTAACTTGAAATTAATTGTTAAAAGAAAGAGGAGTTATAATTCTTCTTCAGCAGCTAACTTTTCAATCAACTCCATTCAAAGAAAATTGATATATTTTAAAATATTTTCAATAGGCATCATTTAGTGTAATGAACATGAAGTGCAAAATTTGACACAGACAAGAATAATTCTTTTATGAATTTATAACAAAAGGAAATACAAAATTTGAAAAATAAAAAAAGTAGCAGGTGAAACTGTTTTGAAGAGTTTTTTTTAGTTTTTAGGCAATATCAGCATCTTTCTTTGTTATATTTTTAATCCTCTAACCTTAAAAAGAAACTATTTAGCATGAGGATCATGAAATCAATTTCAGATTAAAAGCCATTGTAGCCAGAGCAACAACAGAAAAGATGGATTCTTGCTTGCAGTTCACTTTGTTTTTGCAGTAACCTCTGGAAAATGTTCAATTTTACATTTTATAATAAATTCATCATCATCCCCTTGACTTTTGTAATCGTAGGGGGGATTCGAATGCAGAAGCCACACTAAATCTCCACAATGGTCTATCAACAACAGCCATCAGCAATTCTGGTATAGTCAATACCTGTCCATTGTTTGACATTGTCCAACCAGTTTTTACGTTGGCGTCCTCTCCTACGTCCACTTTCAATGGTGCCTTGCATGATGGTCTTGAACAGACTGTCATACCTTTTAATGTGTCCAAACCATGACATTTTTCTCCCTTTAACAGTGGTAAGAAGAGGTTCATGGTGGTCCACAAAATTTTCAACCCTTTTCCGCACAAACTCATTGATTTTATGTTCTCATATAAATTCACTTCTGCCCAATTATATGACCAAGTTATAAATGTAATTAGACACACCAGTTGGTACACTTTCATGTCTTTTAGTCTATCAACTGGTATGTCTTCTTACATTTATATCTGGGTCAGCCCACAAACTTTCCAGACAACATTTGTAGAAATGAAGATTTACAAAAATAATGATTTTTTTTTTTATGTATCTTTTACTTTAAAAGAAGTATAATTAGCAAGGACTGCAAGCTGCTCTATCACTATTTCCATGGCAAATGATCAGACAGTTTAGTTCCTTTGGTCCAGACCTTTACTACTAGGACATGTCATACTACTTACACAGAGTCAAATCATCCTCATTTCCCCCATGTTCAAAATCCAAGAAGGAAGTTCCAATGTGACAGATTTTTTCCCCCAAGAACTGCCATTTTGTGGAACAGACTCTTACATAGGTGCTTCCCTGAACATTTTAATCTTGACCACTTCAAATCAAGAGTCAACCATTATTTCTTCTCCTTATTTTCAGTTTTCACTTCCTATCACCTTATCTTATAATCACACACCTCACCCATCATTAAAATTTTGACTATCTTGACTGACTCTCAAACCTTGCATTGTAAATACTGATATTTAGTTTAAAAAAAAAAAAAAAAAAAAAAAAAAAAAAAGAAAGAAAGAAAATTTCTGTTGGGAATGAATAAAAAATACATTCCCCTCCCCAATTTATAAGCAGAAACACAAATTCATGCTGAGATTTTTTGCTAGGCAATAAGATAAGCCACTTGTCAGTGTCATCTGACTCTGTCTTGCTATGAAGTCAGAACACTGCATTCTTTCAACCGAATCTGCTCGTGTGTCAACCCCAATTCTTAGTTTGTGAAACTTTTTGCCATATTACTGTTGATTTGCCTTGCATATATCATTTGCTTGTTCCATATTTTTTTTTTGCCTGTTCTTTTCTTTGCTTATTACAAACTGTGTCAATTCTGTTTGCTGGGCATTTCTCTCATTTATTTACATTTAACCATGACCACTGTACAATTTCACTGCTGTTCTTATTATCTATCAATATTTGTAATGACTTACAATATTTTTCTATAAGCTCTTGTGAAAATAAAATGACAAAGTATTATTAATATTTATCAATAATTTTGTTTACTGTTATCCTTTTGTTTGTGATTTCTGCTTTCACATTTTCACAAGAGTAGAAAAAATCATTTTTAAAGCTTTGATAATTATTAATCATCCTTATAAAATTATAAGAAAATATGAGCAAAACCTTAAATAAAGAAATACTGACAATATTAATAACAATCTAATTCATCTTTGATTACATGGATCAGAAATGTAAAAGTTTAAGTGACTATTTTGTCATTATTCACTGACTATTTTCGTTAGATAACCTTGTACCAAACTTTCAATGACTGAAAATGCTGCTCATGGCGAAATTGGTGGAAAGAATACTTAACCTCAATTTAAAGCAGAAAATAAGATATACTGAACTAACAGAATAGAGAAGTTGGTCATTGATCTCATTTGATGAAAATAGTATAATCTAATAAATTAACAAACCACAATACAACCAATTAATTACTGCAGTCAAAAGCTATTCAAATAAAACTTAATTTGGGGTTTCTTTTAACATAAAAAAACAAATAATCAGTAAGTCCCATAATTTCAAAGATGAAGTATATTTGTTTTCAGTTTGGCGTGACATACATGAGCTGTCATGCATAATTTAATTGACAAAATCGTTCTTTTCTCCACTCAAAGATAGCAAGTTGCATGCAATCCAATAATACCTAGAAGACTGTGTAATGAATGTAAGAACAAAGAAAGTATAAGTACTACTTACATTAAAAACAACCACATCAAGCTTTTTTGTTTTCCTTGCTTTGGTAAGTGCATCCTGCACATTGTTAACCGCTGTCTTTGTATAGTCCTGAAAGATGAAGAAGAAAAAAAAAAAAAAAAGTTAAAATTAAAGTCTCTAATGGAATAGAAATGAGTCTGAAACAAGTTCATTGAAAATAGACAATTCCATTAAAACAGAATACATAAAAAATATCTTGTAAATAAAATTATTAGTTAAATAACATAATAAATACTATCTGAATGCTAGTGGACTTAGCCAAGATAGTAAAAAAAAAACAACAAAAAAAACAATCAAGAAAAAACTTGAAACCAAATGAGTTTGATTAATACTTATTGCTTAAAGGTTGTGTTTACATTTAGTACAATTAAAAAAGTCTATCATCAAAATCCAGGTAGTACAAGATAACTTGAAGCTAAACACTCCTTTAAGCAACAAAACAACTATTACAACGGCATTTGTGTTTTCTCTCTAGATGAACATTGTCATAAATCACTAATATTTGTATAAGAGTTAAATTAACTTTTTCAATTATCAAACACGACAGTCTATATAATAAGTAGACAGATTCAACTGACTGTAAGCTAACCACAATGAGAGAAAAGTTCAAAGCATTCTTCCATAAATGTAAAAGTCTCACAGGACAATGAGTTTCTATACTAACTATTAATTAATACATTTAAAAGATCTGACAAATTCCTTTCAGAAATAATGCTATGCTTTGAAATGAATGTTTGTAAATGACATATGCATTCAAGTAATCCTTATAGTATTTGTTTGTACTGGCATCAAACATGTTTCTAATGAAATTGCAAGTTCAAAGTGTTTATTTCATTGCATCAAGTAATGCTCCAATTCAATGAACAATTATTTCTATTAAACAGAGGAAGAATTTTACATTAGTTTTCAAATACTCTTAAAAAAAGTTCAGATAAAGATCAAGCAATTATTAACGAGCTTAAGCCAACTTCAAATATTTATAATTTTGAGAAATGTTTTATATTGAAAATAAT